ATCGTCGTCGTCGTTCCGTCGGTCTTAGTCAGCAGTCGTTGTGCTGCTACGCCTCCAGCTGGCAGAGGGCAATGAGCAGGTTCTGATCGCTGACTTTTCGCAGTCTGCCTCAGTCCCCGAACAGTCTGCGCCGCCCTTGGTAACCCGGGCGACGACCGAGCCGGTATAATTCTCGATGGCGTCAATACCATGTGTAGCAGGTGGCTGAATTTTACGGAGACTTGCCACGGGCTCCAACCCTGCTCCTTTCTCATCCGGGCTTGGGAGCGGCCATGACAGACCATACTAAATTATATCTCCTGATAAAGGAATCTTTACATGTACTGGCAATGAAAAACGAGATGTACAACGAATACACAGCTTCTCTTTTTATCAGTGAAAGCTGAGGCAAAATCACAAAACTGTTATGCAAAATCGGGTCAAAATGAAAAAGATCCGATTTATTTTGATGTGACATTATAGTTTGTTCAGTCAACGTAACAGGGTCTCTGCTGTATGTAATGAGTCTTTTAAAAAATTGGCTTTATTCGCTTGTTGGATACAAGTGCCTTCAAGCTGTCAATTGCATTCATTCCAGCCCTGATAATGCTGTGATCTGTGCAGTGAAATGCGCTGACATTAAACGACTTTAAGATCTGCTGCATTTTGTGCCCAAATCATGAATCATTCGAACAACCATGTACCTACCGACTAGGTATTTCTTCACCATTATCTCCATCTATCAAACTTTCTAGCTATAAATAAATAAAATCTTTCTTTACTTCGCCGATTTCGATGACCTTTCAATATTTGTGGGAAGAAGTGCAGTTTTTCACAAATAGTCAACGCGTATTTTGCTTTCGTTAGTTCAGTGCTGGTACACTACGCAGAAACTACTATTTTCTAACGCAGTGTTCGCGTCTATCCATGATAGCTGTTAAATTTCACCACCTCTAGTGAATATCATTATTCTATTCGTGACAGATGCATCCTCAATCAATGTGGAGATTGAAAAAGTGAAGGTTAGAAATCGTAGACAACATTACTGAGCGTAATGCTTGAACGAATGTTTTTTAAATGGTTCAATGGAACAATGCCGTTTTTCAGCCTGCAGGCTTAATGTTGGAAACGAGAAGACTCCTGCAGTCTAACAACAGGACGGGGTATGACACGAATGAACAAAGAAGAGGCGGATCAGATTCATGACGAAATTGATAACTGGATGGAGCTATAATTAGCATTTTATACGAAATGCTCTGAAAATGTGTGAACAGTGGACAACACATAAGTGATAACCTGCTTACACAACTGTACAAGTTGATGATCTGAACGAAGGCGCACAATTTGTGGCAGCTGAAACAATGTGATTTCAATGGCATAGATTTCTTTCTGCTTTCTCAATTTCAGTGAATTTAGAACAGTTTTAATTGTGCGAACAGGTATCAAAATCACGTACCGAGTGGATGGATCGAAGCGCGTTCATCTGGGCATCATTGTATTTTCGGAAAGGAAGATGTTGAGAATTGCGTCACACAAAAACAAACCATAATAAATCAAACATCGGCTTTGATGTCATGCCTGGGTAACGATTAAGGCGTTTCTGTTAAAGAATGTACGCAGGAAACGTAAAAGCTTCTCTCAGACTCGATGCCCCACGCAAAGCAAAACAGGAACATGATTATGAGCTAAAGCAAAGTAATCAATTGCAAATCGAAAAAAATTTTGGATGATAATTGCAAAAAAAAGATGTTCTAGATTTAGAACTGCCACCTCTTAGCAATATCGATATTATGTAGCATATTATTTGGTACAGATCCGGGATTACAATAGCACAGGTACCTGTCGTATTCTCCGCTTCATACCTAAATATCAAACTTAAAGAAATTAGTTTGACTTTTTCTCAATATATGTGAATTGCTGTAGTACATTACTAAAGCGTGTATAATTGTACCTTTGTCGATGTTGTTTCATTGAGAATTTGCTGCGTCCTTGTAATTATCCTTCTTTATTTTTTGCATTAAAAAAACTGGCTGTTGAACTTCCAACATTCTCCGTTATGAACAGACCTAACATCTGTGCGTGAATTTCATTAACCTTCAAGACTGTAGCCAGATATGGATCCAGAATTGATTGACCTCACTGATGCCGATGATGATGTCGGTTTTACACCACATGAAGAACCATGCTTTTCTGCACCTGATCAACGAATTTCCGCTCATCCGAGTAGACTTTCACTGGACGAGAATTCCGAAGCTGAGCTGGCATGCTCCTTATCTGATCGTTCTTCAGCTAGGGAATCCCCGGTTTTGGTAGATGTTACGTCGTCTTTTCAGTTGCATAATATATCTTCTCCATATGACTTATTTCAAGATGAGAAAGATACTGTTGATGTTAGTCCCAGTTATCAGCTTGATTCGCACTTGACTGAAACTTTTGCATCTTCAAATATTGTAGTCACTAACGGAAATGCCGAAGATAATGCATCAAAAAATGCGCAACCTTCAGCTTCGGAACGGAATCTTAATCGTATTGCGCAGACGTTCAGCTATCCCAAAGACAAATTATTTATGACTCAGGTTTTGATTGATTCAAGGATGGAGCAGGCTACGGAGCTCTCTGAAAAGTTAAAACACTTGATATACTCTGGCGTCATCAAAGCTTTGAAAGACATAGATGTGGAAGAGTTTGTAAAAGTTTGCGATCTTCCGTTTCCGGGTCTAATCATATTTCAGCGACCTGCGTCGATGCTGATCGACGATCTCAGCAGTCATCGGCTAACCATAAATCGAGAAATGGATGAGCAAGTGCTAGTTGTAACGCCGATAGCTCGATTCATATCCTTGGTTCACAGTTTCGTTACTGGCAGTCTCGAAGCTACTCCCGACATTGAACCGAAGATGAACCTGGCGCAGTTTGCGGACGAACTGCTAGCAACTTTTCTACCGAAGCGAATTAAATTGACTTTTGTAGTTTTCAACATTGACAGCTACTACAAAGAGTTAAAACTGTTGGAGAGTGCGATGGTTAAAAATGCTATTACTGGCAAGAGCGAAAATGTAACTGCTAAGAAGTACCCGATATTGAATAGTTGTCGTGTCACCGTCAACAGGGAACAGGTAATGCAGGCGACGGTCAGACTTCAGGTGACCCATCGCGTGACGTTTATTTGGCCAAGTTCGCCGGCACAGCTCTCCGAGATAATTCTTGCGTTTGCTAAGGCCATCAGCGAACGCCAGAGCAGACAGAAGACTCATTCATTTTCATTCTTGCCTGAAGGCGAGCTGGCTCAGGGAGTCAGAGTGGACGCGTCCGGCAAAGGATTGCGCGAAGTGTGGAAGCGAGCATTGCTGCAGTGCTTCGGTGTCTCGTTTCAGGACGGCGCTGAGGCGATCGTACG